TGGGTCTCGTTCACGTGAGCTGCTTTTATCCTGGCTCTCAGCCTTTGCTGCCTCCTGTTTACCAGCTTGTTCCTTTCAACATGGTCCTGCAGGAGGCTGCTGCCATCTGTCCATTGCTCTTTTCTTGCCACAGGCAATTCTAACTACTTGTCTTTCAAACATCTTTCTGCCTCCACTTTTCCCAGTCATCAATGGGAAGTCTTTCCTCTCTTCCTCACAACAATCCCTAATTAGTCCATTTTCTGCCAAAGTTTCCAGAGCCCACAGTATCATGGGAAGGTAATTCCCTTTCCTATAAATGTATGTACCCTACTGCCTCCCTTCTGCACATCTCTGCAAGGACTGATAAAGAAAATGGATGAGAAACTCTTTGCATGCCACCAACTCTCATATTTCCCTGCTACAATCTATCCCTTCCTTCCCTCCCTTCTCTACCTTCTCCCTATGATTACGTAGAAGTTGACTATCATCAAGTGTGTTTGTTTAACTAGAGAAACAAGCAGTTCTTGTTTGACAATCTGGAAAATTAGTTGTAAGTGCAGTATTTTATACAACAAGATTATGCCATCTGAAAAAGCAATAGCTCTAACTATGTAGTCTACTTTTTCCTCTCCCCTCTTTTTTCAGTTTAGGTTTTTACTTTTTTACTTCATAGCAAATCAGCAATTCCCACACTCAGAGTAGCTTTCCCAACATCAGACAATCAATCAATCCACAATTTATGAAATACTTAAGTTGTGCTAGGTACTGTGCTAGGCATTGAGGGTATAACCCCGATTGAGGTGTGAGGGTTGGGATTTCTTGATACCTTAGCAAATACTAGTCTTTTATTCTATCTGTCAAGTTTATCTGACATCAGATTCACCACTATCTGTACAAAAATGTAACTAACATGTTCCAATGGTGTAGCACATTACCATTAAGGAATGAATAACGGTAACTGTGATCTTCAAGTATAAGTTTGTTTTTGTTGATGTTTTATTTAATTTATTTGTTTTATTTTTGTTTGTTTGTTTTTTGTTTTGCTAGGCAATGGGTTAAGTAACTTGCCCAGTGAGTGTCAAGTGTCTGAGGGCAGATTTGAACTCAGATCTTCCTGATTCCAGGGCTGGTGTTCTATCCACTGTGCACCAGCTGCCCAAACTTGTTGATGTTTTAGCAAGAGGTTAAATGCTCAAGGTAGAAGTTTCTGTGAATTCCAAAGTGCCTGTGACAGGAAACAAAGTATCATTTGCAGTAGAGATCTTGAATACTGAGTTTTCAAATTCTCTGCTATATAGTAATCCTTGTTCTTCACATTCACAAGACAAAGCACTATCACTTTTGACTGATTACAAATCTAGATGGAAAACCAACCCATAAAGTGAGTTTGTTTTATGAAATGCCACAAAGATACTGCTGCAAAATCAAGTTAGATTCCTATGATGGTAAAATAATACCCACTTAAACTTTATAGAGTGTCTAGGAAAGATGGATAATGTAAGCCATCAAAACTGAAAGCCAAAAATGAAATCATAGATGTATCTAGAGCACCGTTTTTAAATAACAGAAACACATTTTTATGAAGTTCTACAGTATAAAACATCAAGAATCACCATTCTTATTCAACAGTTTTATGTACCAGTGATTCTATATACAAAGATATAGGAGAATAAATGAACAAACAAAAAATAATAAGCTCAAGTAATAATAAGATAGTAAATTCCAAAATGTCACTGAGTAATCCAAGACCTTCATTTTACATGTGAAGAAACAAAGTCCCAAAGAAATTAAGTGATATAATAGATAACAATGATGTAATAATGATGATGATGATTCTATGTAAGGGTTGCAAAGCACTTTACAAACTTATCCCATTTTGTCCTCAGAACAAACCTGGAAGGCAGATGTTATTATTATCCACACCTTACAGATGAGGAAGCTAAGGAACACAGAAGTTATTTGCCAATGGTCACATGGCTACTAAATGTCTGAGGTTGCATTTGAACTCAGGTCAATCTGCCTCCAGGCCTAGTCTGTGAGGCTGCTAGGACAAAAAGCTCCTAATGCAAGTCCTGTGCTCTTTATATTAAATAAGCATTTATTACATATATTATTTAAAATAAGCTTTCCATGGTAAAATAACCTCCCTATTTTAGTTTACTATTTCCACTTATAATCATGAGTTGTGACTATGAATGAGGAAACAAATAAATTTCTCTTCATTTCCATTTATTTCTGTGCTTTTGTCTTTTTAGTCAACTCCTTTATAATTCACCCTAGTATTACAAAAATAGAAGAAATGGCAATTATTAGAAATGACAAATACTTACGGACTGGTACAAAGGTGATTTGTACTTTATTACGTAACTATACACTATCCACGTATTTGGGGCATGTCAACATAAACAAAAGAGTAAACCCAAATTTGAATGAAATCTTTTCTTTTCCCAGTCAGTCAATAAACATTTATTAACTGCCTATTATGTACCAGGTACTGCGCTAATCACTGGAGACACAAAGAAAGGCAAAAGCCAGTCATTACTCTTGAAGAGCTAGAAGACAGGCGAGGAACAAAAGCAGCTTAATTTCAAAATTTCTAAATCCATGCTTTTGAATAAGAATTTATTTGAAAACGGGAACTTCTAGTCCCATATATAAAATAATACTGGATATTGAAGAATTTCAAAAAGCTTATACAATCTTAGCCATTTTAGTTACAATTTGCTTGTCTCTCCTGAATTGGTAGGAGAAAACAGTCTCCAAAACTTGTAAACTAGGTCTCATTCTTGACCTCTCAACAATTTTCCCCATCCTTCTTCCATATCCAATATGGTGCCAAGGACTATTTTTTATAATACCTCTCCAATAAGGCCCTGTCTCTCTGACACTTCCACCATCTTGGTACAGACCCTCATCATCTTGCATCTGGACTACTGCAATAGCCTGCTGGTTGGTCTGTCTCAAATCTCTCCTTATTCCAGTCCACCCTTCATTTAGCCACCAAAGTGATTTTCGCAAAGTGTAGGTCTGACCATATCACAACCTCAACTCAGTAAATTCCAGTGACTCCCTATCACCTACATGATCAAATACAAAAATCCTCCATTTGGTGTTCAAAGTCATTCAAAACCTAGCTTCATTCCCCAGTCCCCTCCACTTTTCTTGTACCTTATACCCCTTTCACCCCCTTCCCTCCAAGTACTTTGTGAACCAGGGTGATACTGGCCTCCTTGGTCACAAACAACACACTTCATTTTTTGGCTCTGGGCATTTTCTCTGGCTGTCCTCCATGCCTGGAATGTCTGCCTTCCTTATGTTTACCTCCAGGCTGCCTGGCTTCATTCAAGTCCCAACTAAAATTTCACTTTCTACTAGGAGCCTTTTCCAATGCCTCTTAATTCTAGTGCCTTTCCTAAATCAAATTTCTCATTTTTCCTATATATAGTTCATTTGTACATATTTGTTTGCTGGTTGTCTCCCCCGTGAACTTGTCAGTTTCTTGACAGCGAGGACTGTCTTTGCCTCTTTGTATCCCCAGCACCTGGCACATAGTAGGTACTTAATAAATGGTTACTGACCAACCTAATATCTATAGTTATTTTTCTTCTCTGCTTCCTGTAATTAAGTGAAAACTGTTGTACTCTTGGAAATTATAATGTTGCTAAGAAATGACCAACCATATTTCCATTTTAACCACTCAGTATTATATATAAAACAAATAGTTTCCATGTATCATACTTCTTCACAATCAAGTATAGAGAGTTGGAATTCATTTTACAATCTCTCAGGCTGAAAAGGCAGTGACAACTTGCACAGTGACGGACAATGTCCATCAAACTTCTGCCATAACCAATTTATGTTATAACATATATGCCATAACCAATTCCTTTTTAGACCATGTCAACATGAAAAAGATCACAACATCCAAATCTGGTCTAATACATGTGGTCTAATCTAATGCAGCTAGAATTAAACAACTCCAACCTCAGCTGCTTAGACCTGGCCTTGCTTATTTGGCCTAACATGTTCTGTCTTACTAACACCCTATCAGCTATCTCTTTCTACTTTTATGCTCTACAGCTAGTTAAGAATTAGAAGACTTGCATAAAGACTGTTTCTAGTTCATCTCTATAATCACAGGAACTGTTCCCCTCTTAGTATCTTCTCATTATCACTTGGGACCAAACCAATATAATGTCCAGACAGATGAATTCAAATATACCCATTCTGATAAGATGAAAAGTTTTATTTTGAGGAAAAAAGAATGTTAGGAAAAAACACAAGAAAGTTTCCATTAAAATATAAAATATAACAGAGAAAAAATATGGAAATAAATAACCACTAAAGGCACCTGAGATGACTAATATTTGTTATTGAGAACCCAAAGCTGATGATATACTGTATGATTTTGTGAGTGCAAAAGGAGGCTAATTTTATTACCAGGTAGCAATTGGAAATCAACAACTAATGTTTTCAGAATCCAGCTAAACTGTTCTAAAAAGAAAAAAATGAAATACGTATTTAATAGACCATTAACTACATTCTGTAAAGTTCATCATAACTTGAAGATTCTAAAGATACCATGAGACAGAAAATCAATATGAATTTTTTTAGCTCCTAAGTTCCGTGTATTTATTGCTATTGTAATGTTAATAACAATTTGCTTCTTCTTGGTGCTGATGGAAATATCAGTTAATAGCCCAACCCAAACTATTTTGGAAAATTTTTCACAAAGCACAAAGACCTTGGAATAACTAGATTTGTCCAAATAAAGCAGGACTTTCAAATGCCCAACAATTCACTAAAATGAAAAAAAAATGAAATTGAGAACAGAATATAGTGATATTATCAGTAGAAATTTTAAGAAACCGAAACAAAATAAATACCATTTAATTAAGTAAATACACCCAAGACAAAGTAAATGATATGCCATTAAAACTCATATGCCAAATTAATGATGTATACAATTTGTATATAACTTCTTCATTTCTGGAATTTCAAATTAATTTTTTTCTTACCTTCAATTAGTTTTCCTGTCTGCTCTGCACTTCCACCAGGGAGTATCTTGGCAATATACGCTCCAATTTCTCCACTGCTTCCTGGGATTTCTTTGCCACCTACTATTCTGATTCCTAACCCATTACCTATTTAAAAAAATAGATATTGGAAGCTATAAGAATTAAGGTAACATATCAGAGGGATAATGAATAAAACTCCATGAATTTAGACATTAACAGTCATACAATGTAAACAGATAGTATGCAAACCATCCAAATCCAGCAAGCACTTATTATGCTATGATCACATGCCAGACACTATCTTATATAGGTATCTATACACATAAGTTGAAATTAGATACCATGAAAATGTTCAGCCATTATTTCAATGACTTTGGGATATCTGGATGGACTTTTCTGGGCATTTCCCCAGTCCACAGGTAACTGGGGAATAGGTCTACATTAAAAATGAACAACAAATTTTTGATCATATTTGAATCTAAATGCATAACCCAGGTGGGTAATGAAGGATAAAGAAGTCTTGTTTGATAGCTTCCAACTCCAACCTAATTAAAATTAATGTATTTATGCATGTGTCATTCTCAATTTTTGAAGGTTCTGTTTGTAGTCATATTGGGGAGAATAATCATTTGCAAATGCCATCCAGACTTTACAAAAATTGTCCTTTTCTAAAAATGTTGACTAAGGAGTAGTGCCATCTAGGAAATGATACAGTATTCACTTCATATGTCTGTGAAACCCAATTACTTCTCATTTTATTAGTGAGGGAAAATAACTAATAATAAAAGCTAGCAAGCATATAGCACTATAAGATTTACAAAGGACTTTAAATGTTATTTCATTTAATCTGCACAACAACCCTGCGAGTTACATGCTATTATTACCCCCATTTTACAGATGATGAAACAAGTAGAGAGAAGTTAAATGACTTGCTCAGGATCACAAAGCTAGTAAATATCTGAGGCAGGATTTGAACCCGGATTTTCTTGTCTTCAAGTGCTACTCTCAATCTATTGCACCACAAAGCTGCTTCATGAATACAATAACCTGATTCATTTAAATATGTAAATGTCTGTGGTTGATCATAAATATGTAAATATAATTCCAATTCATGAATTTTTCTAATAATTGTTTCCCCATTATCAATATTAGTTCAAGTTTGTTTTAATGGCATTGATTTCAAGAAAGTCTAAAATATTCTTCTTAAAGACATTTAATTCTTTATATTATGCGTTAAGGAATAGAATGGGTCTAGACTAGAGGTAAGTACAAGTAGCAGATCAGAGATACGTTAGCAAGAAGAAATGTTTGCAATTAGACATGATTTCCTATGAGGTACATATTATAAAATCATCAGTTCTGTTTTCAAGGTCACTCTGATCTTAGCAAATGATTTACAAGTACATATGGGATTGCGGTTACATGATTTATTTTTATTATAAAATTTAAATAGTAATTAAATTTGAAAATATTAGAAGACAACATTTAAATGGTAGCCAGAAAATAGTACCTAAAAGCAAAATATGAGTATTTTAATTCTATCTCCTTTTTACAAAATATCTGACTTGCTTCAGTTATAACTAAAGAAAATAAATATTATATTTCTTTAAAATTTCAAAGTGCTTTACATTTATTGGTTGATTTTTACCTCTATTTGATCCTCACTATACCCTGCAAGATAGGTAATACCGATATTATTATTATTATTGTTGTTATTATTATTATTATTTCCATTTTACAGATGAAGAAACTAAAGTTCAGAGAAGTGACTCACCTAAGGTCACACAGCAAGTAAATGGAAGAGCTAAGATTTGAACCATGATCTCCTGACTCCATATCAGTTATTTTTCCAACAAGTAAATTAAAATCCCTGTTCAGTTGCTTTAAAACAAAATCTGAAAATACCTCAAAGTTAAATAAGTATGGAATCAGAGAATATTAAGATTAGAAGAGATGTTAGAAAGACTAGACTTTAGGAGTAGGTGAGGGAAGAAACGATAGCTTGGATTGGGAGAGAGGGGAAGAAATAGAGTTATTTTCCTTCTCCTAAGAGGGCAGAACTGAGAGTAGACAACGAGGGTGGAGAATTCACTACCTTTCCATCCAATCAATTATACTTATAAACAAAACTATTCTAAAGAAGTTTTTTCTGATATCGAGTTAAAATCTGCCTCTTGGTAATTCCCACCTATCGCTCTTAGTTGTTTTCTCTAGCACCAAGAATTCAAATCCCTTTTCACATTCCACATCTTCAAATTATGAAAATGAATTTAGAGAAATTTGAGAAGATGCATATCTACTTGTACAGAACAATTTGTATGATGTTCACTACGAGGTAAAGAAAAACAACATTGAACAACCTCAGAATTTTGATTAAAGCAGTAATCAATTGTGACTTCAGTTGACTAACCGATAGTCAAACTATCTTAGCAGAGAGATGGTACAGTATAGGTGCAGAGTGAGGTGTATGTTTTCAGATGCGGCTATTGTGTTGATTTGTTTTGCTTGACTTGTTAAAAGGGGGGGGCTATAGGAGTAGGGGTGGGGAAAGGGCAGTCACTGAAAGTAACAGTGCTGCAAAAAGAAAATAGTATTGATAATCCATTTCAAGATAGTCCTTTAAAGATCTGAAGGCAGCATATATGGTCTGACACACTGATACTAGTACTTATGTATGTAGAAATATTTATAGTCATTTGTAGTAGGTGAAAACTGGGAACCATGTGTTTGTAAATCAGTTGGAAAATAGCTGAGCAAACTGTGATTATAAAAATAGAATGAATATTATTATGCTATAACAAATGATGAACATAAAGATTTGGGGGTACTTGGGAAGACTAACACAGAGGAAAGTAAGGAGAACCAGTTGCTCAATTGTCATAATTACCAAATAATGTAAAGGAAAACTTTGAAAGGTTAAAATTCTAGTCATTACAGTCACTATTTGTGACCCTGGATCACGACAATGAATCATGCCTCCAGGCTTTCATTATTAAAATGGTAGACAATAGGTATAGAACAAGATATGGGCTATTAAAGATGGCTACTGTTTGGATTTGTTTTGCTTGATTATACTTATTACTAGGAAAAAAGGTCTATTGCTGAAGTTTAGGAGACTCACAGTGAAATGACAAATATTTTTTTAAAAGACCATCAATAAAACTTGGAAAAATTATTTAGAAATTCCCTGTAGAGACACACAAAACTCCAGTAAGCCCATTAGTTCAAACAAGCTGTAACTATTAGTGTACACATAGTGATATGACATGCTTTTCCAACTGCCAGTGTTGATTCTGTAAATTAGAGCTTCTAAAAAGAGAAATACTTTACTAATCTAATGACCAGTTGGGAACTCTAAAGTATTTTTTCCAAATCTGGACAAAATTCACTACGAATCTGGCAGAATGAAGTTATTCATGCACAGAACATATAATAAAACACATGGACCCTTTTATAACAGCAACCATTCACATGTAACACTTGTTCTCATATTTATTGGGATGCTAAAATATCCACATGTAAGAATAACCTTGTGATGTAAGTGACAGGACACTGGGATGTAAGGGGTATTGCTGAAGTATTGTTCTGACAGAGCAATACATAACTATTTTCCAACACGAGATGTCTCTCGATAATCAGTTAGTTGTACTAGGTAGCTAAGAAACCTGAGCCAGATTTTGTCTCTAACTCCTTGTAGAGACTAAAGAAATGAGCAGGAAAGGGAAACATTCAAAGCTTAACAAAGCTGATATCAAGGTAAAGTTTTCCAAGACAGGTTAAACAAAGGAAAATAATAAGAGATGATATGAATTATGGTTAGGCTGGTGTTGTTAGGAACAGAAATCTAACAGATTCCTCAAATCCAGCCTTTCCGTTTGTCTAGAACATACTCCCTCCTCCTCCTTGCCTCTTAGAATGCCTAGCTTCCTTCAAGGCTCAGCTCATATGTCACTTCTGGGGGAAATACATTAGCATTTTTTCCCTCCTCAGATTAACCTGTATTTATTTACATGTCTGTAGGCTATATCCGTCAATAGTATGTAAGTTCCATGACAGCCAAATGTTTGTCACTGTCTCTCCATCCCCAGGGCCTACTGGTGATACTACAAAATGATACTATGATATCTTTCCTTGTGGATAGTAAATGCCCCAGGAATGATTGTTGAATTTAATTTAATTCAGCTCCTTCTTGAGATTTCCTTATTTCTATCAATGAAATTATTCTTCTTCTAGTCACCTGGATTAGAAAGTATCCATTCATCTTTGTCTCCCTCTTTTCTTCTGTCATATTATAAATAACCAGACACCAAAGCCTGTCCATTCTTCCTCCATAATACCTCTTGCATGGTATCTCAAAGAATGGGACTTTAGAGGTCACCTAATCAAGCCCCCTTATTTCACATATTAGGAAATTCAGGCCCAGAGAGATTAAGTAACTGTTTTTTTTTTGTTGTTGTTGTTGATTAAATGGCAGAGCTGGGATTTCAACTTTGGCTCTCTGTCTCTAAATCTAATTCTCTTTTCACTGAACTACAAGGCCTCCATCTCCATCCATTACCATAGTCACCATCGTGTACCAGGCTCTCACAATATCATGTTTCAATTATTATAGTAGATGCCTCACAATTCTTATTCCCAGTCCAGGTGAACTTATTAATTTACTGTGAAACAGAGACAGCAATTATAGTGGGAACCTTAATTTGTTTTTGATAAATTATTTTACTGCGACATAGGAAGCAAAACTCCTGCTTGGTAAATAGTTATTTAATCTGTTACTCCTATTAACCAGACAGGATGCTGTCTTATAAAGAATTAAGTACTAGAAAAAAAAGGGCAGGGGAGCTCCTCCTAGAATCTGAGGAAACTGAGGCATAGCAAGTTTATTACTTGTTCAAGGTCACCCAGATAATACATGGTACACGGAACCAGATTTTAAAACACCATGATACTTCTGGGTCTTAGTTTCACAACATATATAATGTGTATAACACTAGATCTATTGACCTCACATCATTTGTTGTAGGATATCAAGTGAGATATGAAAATATATCAAAACACTTTGAAAAATAAAAATGCTGTGTAAAATGGAAGATATTACTGTTATCAGAATGATTAAGTACGTACTA